CTCCCTAATCCACATTTGATGTTTAAGAATAGTACTTCACTTTGTAAGTTGAGTATCAAATGAATTACACATACACAGGAGAGATATCAATTCTGCAGCACATCCAGGTCGACAAGACATGTGGTCCTTTCAATACAATAAATATGGTGCACTATAAAAACAAAGAGTTGTAAAGAATCTCCTGTTGTGCACAGAGTGATGGCGTTAAAAACATAAAGGGTCATTGATGGACACTGACATATGCTGTAATCAAACTTGTGCCAATTTGCTTATATGCGGTGTACTTGGCCCTTTAAGCTGGATTTATGAGTTCACATTTTGGCCTTGCTGCTCAGCTGAATACTTACGGGTACCACACACAGCTGAGATTCATCGTTGTGTTCAAACATGCGCCTCCACCTTCTCAAGATGATCATTTCTGGGGAAATAATAATCAATTCCCAATTGAGGCACATTTCCCAAAGTGTCCATTTCTTTTCTGTCCTTGTCCCACCTCTGCACAGACCATCTGCCACCTCCTGTCTCTTCATTTCTTTCCTCCTCCTCCTCTTCTTCTTCCTCAGCCCAGCACACTGTCATTGAAGGCCAGACACACCACGGCTTTCTGGTGGCCGCTGTATTCCCTCTTGATCTCCCCGGTCTCCACGCACCACAGCCGGGCCAGGTTGTCTGAGGAGGCTACAGATGGAAACACGAGTCAGAGCCAGGAATTTACCTCAAGGTGTTTTTACACTGAAGTGATCAAACCTTTACCTGCTTCTCTCTAAAAGGCTCTGAAAGTCACTATATACATCTTTATTCAGATGTGCATCAATACAGAATTAGCTTCATACTCTCATAGACTATTCCAAGTCCAGCTTTATCAAATGCATATGGCCGGAGATTTACTTGCTTTTTAACCATGTGTTTGAACAGAAAGCCGGCTGCATCGAGAACGAAATTACTCACATTACTTGCCTATCAACTATGTGTGTTGCTGTAGGATTCCACTAGAGGGCAAACCTGAGAAGCAGAGCATATCTTGACAATGGTAAGTTTCTTTCTCTCGCTCTGCCAACACTGCCCTGACCGTTCACGTGTGTATCACATCTTGCGGCCACGTTGCGTTAATTTCTGAGGACATGCACAACCAATGCTCCAAATGGATGCAGGTGACACAAGGCAGCCATCATGTGCATGCAAACGCGCAGTTAAAAAGAAGGTGTATGTCCAATCTTTAACTCCAAATCTAAATTTGCATTACTGCAGTGTATGGTCTTTTAATATGGGAAGTGACTGACTTGCCAAATAATTAATTTTCAATAATTGGCGAGCTAACACATCAACCAGTGACGAGGGAGATGTGATACTGTTTCCATAGTTACCACACATAGAGCGCCTGGTGTTTACTCCCGGAGCACCTGTGTGAGGAGCGCATCTAGACCCCAGGGGTCCAAGTGGGTGTGCAGGGGGAGTGTCGCTTAATGCAGCTTGTTGTTGACTCAAGATTACACATAAACTACAACATACATTTTTCTCACTGTTTTAGTTTAAAAAAAAAATCTTAAATCATCATAAATCTGAAACAGCAAGGTTTTTATAAGTGTGGAATCCTTGTGTTTATGTCTGACCGTGAGTAACATTACTCTGATTAACTCGTTATAGAATGGTTTTGATACAAGCACACTGACATTACAAAGTAGTGCTAACTTGCCACAGCGCATGTACTGACCAGTCACAATATACTGGGAGTCTCCAGAGAAAGCACAGTCCCACATCCAGCCTCTGGACGTCTCTCCGGGATTGTTGCTCTTAATGCTCAGCTCTGTCATCAGGGAGAAGTTGGACGTCCTCCAGATCTTACAGGTCTGGTCTGCTGAGCAGGTGGCCAACAGACTGGAGGTGACGACAAACACAGAAACTCATCGTCAGCAACTGCGTCAAAGAAAGATTTATAGAGTGCAGAGAGGAGGAGGAGGGCACTCACGTGGAATCGGGGCTGAACTTGCAGCGGAGAGAGTAGCGTTTGTGTGCAGGGATCTTAGTCTTGGGGATGAGCTGAGTCACCTCATCACCAATGCCTCCAGCGAGGTTCCACACATAACAGTTCCCCTGTTAAGGAGATCCAAGAGGATGAATATGACTTAACACGCCAAAGTATTAATATACAACACCCTTCTCTGCTGGGGTACTGACCGAGCTGTTGACCGCTGCCATGTAACTGGCATCTGGGTCAATGTGAACGGAGTTGACTGAGACTTCTGGCTCAGGAATCAGCTGCTCATTGTGGTCCGTCTTCAGATCCCAGATGTGAATCACTCCACTCTGGTCTCCAACAATCAGCTCTGCCTGAAAAACACACAACACAGACTGTTTACTGACACACACTGTAACTGACTTACATTAAAAACACACACATATACACTAAACTACTAAAATAACAAACAATAGTATAAGTGCAAATTTATGAACATTGAACGTCTCACCTGGTTGGGATGCAGGCAGACACAGTTGATAGGAGCATTAACCTGGAATATCCTCTGGCACTGCAGGTTTCTGGACCTGAGAGGAGCAGTGGGGATCAAAGATAGGTTGCTCAACACAACGTAATCAATGTGTTTTTAGCACAGTGAGGTTCCTTTGCAGTACCTCAGGTCCCATATGCGAGCCATGCAGTCCTCTCCTCCTGTGTACATCCAGCGCCCGTCTTCATGGAAGCCCACGGATGTGATGTTCTTGCTGACACCGTCGTAGTTGATCACCGGGTTGGGGTTGTTGGAGTTCAGATCGTACATGCGGATGTGCTGATAACCTAAAAGGCAGAGTGGACATCAATGTGAGACATGGTTGTTATGAATGGTATCATGCAATCCAGGATAAGGAGAAGGTTTAAGATTTAAAAAATTCTTAACCAACCTGCAGCTGCGATCATACTCCTGTCAGGTGTGACCTCAAGTGAATTTACTTGCTGGGAGCAAATGTTAAGGAAGGAATCGGTCTACATGAACAAGTCTCAGTCCCGACACTGGAGTGATGATGTCATCCACTGACAAATCCTGGAGCTGCTTCAAAGACGGTAAACAACAGCTCCTTTGACAGCATGTTGATTTTATAAGACACAAGGGGATTTTCTGATTCAGAGTGCACTATTTTAAAGCTAACTTGTTTTCAAACAGTATGTTAAACTCTTAGGTGTAAAGTCCTAATGTCACTTTTTCTGCTGTCAATTGACCAGTGGTGTAATGAAACAAAGTAATAATACATCTTTATAGTGCTTAAGTATTTTTTAAGGATCTGAACACTACTTTTCGGTCAACTTTCACCTTTACTCCATGACATTTCCTAAATAAAATGTAAACTTTTGCTGTAATACATTTCTCCTCAGCATCTTAGTCAATTACTAAATAATGAGGAAGGAAGAAGGGAGGAAGGAAAGAGGAAGAGACAGATGAATGAAGGAATAGGAGGAAAGGTAAAACTGGATTTTGTTCTTTAAATCCTTTAAATTGTGAAAAAGTTTTTTTTTGGAGTGTAATGTACACTTCATTTTTAAGGAGGTGTACATGTGAGAAAGAAATAAACATAATTCTCAAAATTCTGTCTGCTTGCTTTTTTGTTAACATTTACTTGCACTTTTATTTTCGATACTTAAGTCTCATTAAATGACTTTTGACGTTTAAATGCAGTAAATATCAAGTACTTTACTCAAGTCATATTCTAATAAGTGACTTTAACTTCTACCACAATCATTTTCTGGTAAGTTATCTGTACTTTTACTCAAGTATGGCTCTCGGGTACTTCATCCACCACCAGCTCCAGTCATCTGAAACTCAAATCCTTGTTTCCAAGAAGACAAAACATGTCTCTGTTTGTATCACAGTGTAAACTCTGTTCCAGATTTCATTTACCAGAGCACACTATCAGTCAGAGTAAGGATACAGAGTCCTGGTGCTGGACAGTCCTGGTGCAGATCCCGCTGTGAGCCTGCCAGAAGCGGACAGTGTGGTCGTATCCAGCCGTGGCCAGAATGACCGGGTCGCTGCCCACCGTCCCCTGGTTCACATTCATGCTTGACTGCTGGCTGTCACTGCTCAGAGTGACCGAGGCAGGTATGACACTGCGTAGGAATATCAGACACAGTCAGTGAATGCAGTTTTCAGGCCGTCACATGTCCATTATTAACAGGAAAGTGATTTAATTACTGTCATACTGTGAAAATAAAAAATTTGGCTTATAACGTGCAGGCTAATGCTAGCATAGTAGCATACCGTCGCTATGTTAACGGGCCCTGCGATTTATGCAGTTAGCAAACGTTCCTACTTCACTGCTAATGCAATGTGTCTCTAATGATATTTCACTGTGAGATATTATTTATTACTACTTAGACAACTTAAAAGAACAAATAAATCTCACAAGTTTACTGTACCTTCAGTTGTTGGTGTTGTCGAAAAAACAGTACGTCCCTGTAATGTGTCCGTTAGCAACATACGACGACGTTTCAAAAGTTCCGCTTTGATAACCAACGCTTTGCCGCCACCTACTGACTAATTTTGTTATAGCAGGACAAACACACCACAGACATGTAATGACTACATGGTTTAAAAAGACCAAGTGTTAATTCAACTCATAAACTCATTTAACTATATAGAATATTTTGTAGTTTGTTGTGATGACCTCACAGCAAGAGGGTTCCTGGTTTGAGTTTGCATGTTCTCCCCATGTCAGCGTAGGTTTTCTCTGGGTACTGCGGCTTCCTCCCACAGTCCAAAGACATGCAGGTTAATTGGTGACTCTAAATTGCCCGTAGGTGTGAATGTGAGTGTGAATGGTTGTCTGTCTCTATGTGTCAGCCCTGTGATAGCTTGGTGACCTGTCCAGGGTGTACCCCAGCTCTCACCCATTGTCAGCTGGGATAGGCTCCAGTCCCTCTGTAACCTTATAGGGTAAGTAGTTATGAAAGATGAATTAATAATTAGAAAATTGTCTTATTGTCCTATTATTTGTAACTGTCTGCTCATCAAATATCCTTTCCTGATTGATACATTTGACACCTAACTTACTGACATAAGCTATAACTGTTTTTAAACTTTTATTTAACAGTTTTATAAAGCAGTCAAGCCAATAGTACATTCTTCATATTATATATATTTAAATAAATAAATAATTAACTTATATAAATAAAGCAGAGAATGTATCAATTCTCAAACCATAAATCCCACATGTATGAATAACTCTTGCCCTTTTGTCAACATCTCAGTCCGAACAGTACCACACAGCAGGTAAAGCAGCCAACTGCAACATATGTGCTCTCCTGCTCAGTCAGTGTGTGTGTTGTGATCACAGGCGCTGCAGCAAGGCAGACATGTGCTGTTTCACCTCTCCTGGGTCAGCCACCGAGCAGGCCAGGACCATCCCCCTGACCCCAGACTTCATTCTAGAAGACGGCAGTATCTACAACATATTGTAAGAATTTTTTTTAACTTGTGACTTGCTTTTAGAGCTAACACACAAACAGCATAAAATCAAAAGCTACAATACCTTCACATATATTTTGCATCTCTCCAAGAGAAATTTCCACTTCAGTGCAGTCCGTTCGTCATCGGTCAGACTGGTGAACTCGTCCGTCTGCGACAGGTGAAATGAAAATGCTGTTTATCGCACCTGACGCACACATGCTACACCTTTAATTGATTCTTCTCTTATGTTCTTTAATCCCTGCACACAGGGGATACTACATGACATCCTCCTGTGTAATGATACTCACCATACAGCCAAGTGTCTTTTCTGCCACGGGGCTTCTAAGGGTGCAGGCGTGCAGGGTGCCGGTGTGGTCTGTGAAGTCCACCAGCAGGTCAAAGCCTGTGGAGGCTGAAAGGGCCTGATCCCTCCCTGGACACAACTCATTGGTGCAGCTCTGCATGTCATCAGTCACCTGAAACTTACACCTGGAGCTGAGACAGGAGGGAAAACAGTCTCATCAGGGAGTTTATTGGCTAAAGCTCATCTCGAGTGGCAGAGAAACTAATTTATATCACTGAGCATGTTCAAATAATTGGAGTGGAACATCAGAGCTGTGAGGGGAAATAAAAAATAGTGCAGTAACTATTTAATAATACATGCACTGTGAGAACTTACCACCGTGTCCTGATGACTTTTGAAACAGAGGAGTCGAGGTCGAGCCTGGAGATGAAGCTGTATGTGATGCCAAAGAAAGCCTCAGGGTCCTCCCGGGCCTTCTGCTTCAGCTGGCTCACTGTGTACACGTCAGTGATGGACTCCACTGCAGAAACAAAAGCAGCACCACATATAGTCTGCAGTCTTTTCCTTTGGGAAAACAGGCACTGACACAGGCTGCACTTGTCACATTGTCATCTGATAATGGGGGTGTTACATCAGGAAAAAATATAGTGGCAGTTTGTTTTTTTATTGTCAGCAAATTCAATAGAAAGACCAAAGTGAACAGTGCATCTGTCGACAAGTTAGCTCCACAAGTCAAATGGCTCTCAGAACTAACAAAGAACAACTAGCTATCAGCCCCAAACCTTATTTGGTCCACCTGAAGATGTAAATCTTAAAAAATGACTCACAAATATGCAGTTTTTTAGGCACTAGCTTTTAAGAAATGCTACTTAAGTCTTGCTTTCACAATGCAAGTCTGTCTACCACTGGGTATGATCTCCCAGGAAAATTAAGATTTGATTGACAGCACAAAGGAAGTGCGTCAACCACTGAATTAGACAAAAATAGGAGAAATTTAAGCTGAGGACTAAGATCTGGGTTCCTACAGATTAAGACAAGTTAGATTCAAGATTTCAAAAATTTTTAATGCCACTGAGGGTAAAATTTAAGACCAATGTCACAATAACCAAAATTGAAGGGAAAAAACATGTACTGACATCGATTACTTAGGGAAAGGGACAATGTTGCCCAAATGTTTATTATAAATAAAACCAGACTTTTTGGTCAAGTTAAAAAGTTGGATGATCCACTTCAAATGCTGATTTTTTATTTAATTTTGCAATACATTGTCAGAAAAAAGATTAATAAAATCCTACTTCCCACATCTTAGCATTTTTAAGACAGCTGAAAGAGTGATTTTTTTTATTTTTTTTTATTTAATCTTTATTTAATCAGGCAGTCTCATTGAGATCAAGATCTCTTTTTCAAGAGA